AAAATTCACATATACAAAATGACAACCAAAATGTTTGACAATATTGGTTTAGAACACCAACTTTCTAATATTTCTGCATCAATATGTCTGTATTTAATGTTTTTAAAAAGACTATCAATTTGCAGTAGGGTTCTGTTTTACCTTGCTGATCTGGCACGTGGGTAGTGGAAGGTATATGTTTAATAACAGTGTTCCCTTCTGTGAGTTAACACCTCCCTGACCCTGACTTGTCCATGTTACAGAGCAGGAATTTTAGGTGGTCAAAAATACTGTATAAGGTAACGTTGCATTATGAATCAACCATACAGTGATTCACACAAAGTAGGCGTATATACATTTATTATTAATTCAATTTAACACAATGTTCAAAGTAGGAAAATAACATATAAAACAGTTCTTATCACATTATAACTTAAAGAAAAAACAATATTTTTATTTGGTTAATTCAGGAGACTATTCCTTCAAAAATGCAAAATATATACATTTTTACTTGTAACAATTGAATTATTTTATGCAAAATGTATTTTGATGTTCACACAAAACCAGAAGGAAAACATAGAATGTCTTCTTCCCATGTATTTCTTCCTAAACTAAACCAGACTAAAATACTGCTGGAATTTAAATAGTGAACTAGCACTGGAAAAACAATACTGTCACACAATTGCAGAGAATTACTGTCAAAGAGGCAGTAATATAATATGTGATAAAAATGATCAAGTACTATGAGCACCTTCTACAGGACAAGCAGTTATTTTTCTTCAGTTTTCAGGTGGCTATTTGAGATTTGGAGATTTTTGAACATATCAAGGGGATCTTATACTGAATCAGATCTTTGGTCCATTTGACTAGTATTGTTTACTTTTGTCTTGAGGTTCTCTAACCAGAGATGCCAGGCACTAAAGACGGGGCTTCATACATGTAATAACTCTGTTGTAAAGCCATAGCTCCTCCCCCTTTTTATTTTTCCATTTATTGAGCATTGTCATCATCATTAATATATATAATATACAATGTGGACAAATCTGTGGATACTTAAATCCAGAAATGGAAGCCATGAAAAGGCATGACAGATCTTGCTACAAACTTGAGAAAAGCTGTGTTTGCAGAAAATATGAAATCTAAAAAACAAAACACTGGGGAGTTAGAACCCCCCCCCCCAATAATAGAAGCAGCTTCTGCAGCTTTAAGAAATTAATGTCCTCAGTGGCCATTGCTAGGCAACTAGAACAGTATTGCCAGGCTTTCAGCCTGACTTTCTGTCAGTAAAAGATAGGGGGAGAGACTGGACCACCTTTGAGGGAGGTGTCAATTGCACATTTTCAGACCAACCTGCCTCACAGGGTTGTTGTGTGGATAAAATGGAGAAGAATGTTGTAGGCTGCTTTGAGTTCCCATTGTGGAGAAAGGTGAGGTATAAAAGAAATAAATTAATAACTAATATAACTGATCATGGAGGAAGGATAAAAAGTTCATTGGTAGGTGGGAAGCAAAAAGGGAAGCATAGAAAGATGAGGATATGGGAGTTGCCAGGAGAAG